ATCAATGACTTTCCAGCATATGGAAATTTATCTGGATGGAGTACAAAAGGAAAATTGGCATGTCCATGTTGCAATAAAGACACTTCATCAACTCAATTGTCTAATGGTATGAAGCAGTGTTATATGGGTCATCGGCGTTACCTTCCTCATAATCACAAATGGAGGAATGAGAAGAAGTCATTTGATGGTACAGAGGAGAGAAGACCCCCGCCACAAATGCGTTCTGGTATTGAGATACTTAATCAAGTGCAGGATCTTGAAGGGCTACAATTATCAAAGGATCCAATGAAAAGGAAGAAGATATCACATGAAAATCGATAGGATAATTGGAACAAAAAAAGTATCTTTTTTGAACTTCCATATTGGAAGAGTCTGTTGTTGCGACATAATTTGGATGTCATGCATATTGAAAAAAATATATGTGATAATAGTATGGGGACAATCATGAACGTCAAAGGAAAGACCAAGGACACAATTAATACTCGGTTAGATTTGCAAGAAATGAACATTAGGACAGAATTGCATCCTATCTAAAAGGGGGAGAAAATTGAAGTTCCAAATGCATGCTACACATTATCTCCCGAAGATAAGCATAGGTTATGCCTTTTCCTAAAGAATCTAAAGGTTCCTGATGGATTTTCATCTAATATTTCTCAATGTGTGAACCTGAAAGATCACAAGATATCTGGGTTGAAAAGTCATGATTGTCATGTTCTTCTACAACATCTACTCCCTCTTGCACTTCGTGGTATGTTGTCCAAAGAAGTTTGTGAACCTCTTATTGAGCTATCTTTATTTTTTGTATTCTTGGATCAAAGGAGTTGAGAATTGATAACTTGGAACATATTGAAGCTCAAATTCCCATTACACTGTGCAAGTTAGAAAAGATCTTCCCACCTTCATTTTTCGATGTCATGGTTCACTTACCTGTTCATTTAGCTACTGAAGCTAAGATTGCTGGACCGATTCATTATCGATGGATGTATCCTGTGGAACGATGGTTATATTTTCTAAAATCTTTCATTGGTAATAGGGCATGTCCTGAAGGTTGTATTGCAGAGGGCTACATTGCAAATGAATGTATGACCATATGTTCAAGGTATCTACATAGAATTGACACAAAATATAATCTGCCTGAACGAAATTATGATGGGGGTTTAAAGCAATCTAATGGAGGTTTATCACTATTCTGTCAACCCGAAAAAACTCTAGGAGCTAAAACTCCATTTGAGCTTGAAGCAGATGAATTAGAACAAGCACACATATACATACTGAAGAATTGTGATGAAGTCTTACCATATCTCGAGTATGGAGAGTTATTTCATATCTTCTCATTATTATTTCCATAGGATTATTTCTTTTTTGAAATTTATGGTTCACTTCAATTTTGTAGGGAGTTTGCACAAACTCATGAGAATGCTCGCCAGTTGTCTGATGTAGAATGGAATCGACAATTTATAGAATGGTTTAAAGATAGGGTGAGTAATACATAAACATAAAATTTGATATTTTATTATTGTAATAGTCATTCTAATGTAACATCCTAATTGTGAATAGGTTGCACAATTGCATAAAGGAGATTCTAGTCGTATCATGAAAGATCTTCTCTCACTTTCACGCGGTCCTACCCGGTATTCAACGCATTCTAATGGTTACATTGTTAATGGATATAGATTTCATGTTGAAGATTATGATAAAAAAGTTAAGGACTCAAAATTGTGGTGTCGTTGTATTGGGTGAGAATGATAAAGATAGTGAGAACTTTGATTACTATGGAGTTTTAAGAGATGTGATTGAGTTGCAATTTGTCATGGATAGAAAAGTGACTTTATTTCATTGTAATTGGTTTGATGTGTATGATGAAATAAAAGGAGTTAAGAAAGATGAGTATGATTTCGTGAG